GACGAAGATTGCAAAATACGATAGTTTATATTTTTCTTATCGGAGATATCGGCGAGCGCTCTGCTGAGGAACTATTAGGACAAAATACCATAGCCTTATAAAGATACATTTGAATTAGGACTGCACCTTGCTGTCTACCTTATTTGCAGAGTGAGAAAAAGCATTTTTGCATGAAAACAAAGTAAATCAATCTGCTACAGAGGTCACATTGGTAAAAGTATGCTTTAGTTAGAGAGGAAATAAGATATAATGGAACCTAAAGGTACTTTGAACTTCCTGGACCAAAACAAACTTAAAATTGCTGCTCTAACTCAAACTTTTCTTTACATGACTACCTACGGCTATGGCGTAATCATGGTTGTTCCTTCGTATAGTGTAATCTTCACCATTTTTTCTATTTTACAGAGATTTCTTTCATGTATTTTTTCACTCTCGCGTTCTTAGCTTTGACAAACTAGTTTTTTAAACCTTTGATAGCGAACCATTCGCTGATCGAACGTATTCGGTAGCGATCCGGCAGAACACACATTCGCTTACCTCAAAACTTAAATTTCATTCCGTTTGTCTTTAGTCCAGACTAGACATGCAAAAGTCTCAAGCTAGAGCTCGCTGATCGGCAGCGAACATGCTTGGTTACGAACCGTTCGATGCCGATCAGCGAGCCCTGGCTTGGGATTATTGCGTGCCTAGTCTGCATAGAACTAGTTAGAAAGCGAAATCAAATTTTAATCAAACATTATTTAGGTGTCTAACTCAATCAATTAGTTATGAGTGCAACCCATTGCGGCAAACAGTTTCTGTATCGTAGTCAAAAACCACTAACTTTATTTATTAAATCAGATTATAGCTTATGTCTGTGTTCTTTAATCGTATAATGTTTTCATGTTGTTTGAATAAGACTCGTCTGTTGTGAGCTCATCTATGGGAGACTCAACTGTCGAAGGCTTACGTATCGAGAGATTCAGGTAGCGGGGCTCAAATGTCAGAGGTAGAGATGAGCGATAATGGTAAAAATATGTTACTGTTAACCACGCTTCGAAAGCAAGATCAAATTTTTAGTGTGTTAATTTCAAACCTGTAAAAAATCTTAAAATTTTACCGCAGTAAACTTCGATAAAAAATGTTTTTACCGTTACCGACGGTAAATTACAGAAAACTTGTGTGATTAATGTTTTTATTCATAGAATAGAACAAGTCAATATCAATGAAAAACGTGAAGAAAAGTTTCCATTTACAGCTATTTCACTTTGTAGTTTGTCTTTGAGAAAAAAATGCTGGTGTGTAAGGAGAAAAGTTGGACTTCAGAGAATTCGAAACATTTTTCTGTATCTTCTTCCTTTCCGTCCTATTTGATAGAGGAAAAGAATCTTGTTTACCATCATTGTGTGCACGCTCTTGTAAAATGTCTTAATGTATTTTCTACAGTAAGTTATTCTTTGCTAGTGAAAGTTCGTGAATATGTAATTTATGTTAACTCAAAACCCAGCAAAGAAAAATAACAACTTTTTTTTGATATAGATTCATAATGAACTTTTTATATTCTAAAATGTTCTATGAACAATATCTAGAGTAGCCTGAGGTAATTATGATCAGGATAAAAAATTTTCCCAGTATTCTCTGTAGCTATTTTTCACCAAAATAAAAGGGATATTTCATAAGTAGGTGGAGCTGAGTCTTACCTATCGATCGATGTAAAATTATCTTAAATTCATTAGCGTTAATTAATACTAATCAATTTCCAGCGAGCAGGTATCGACTGATCATAGGTAATTATGATCAGTCGACGTATACCGATGAGGTAATTATGATCAACACAGCCAAAATGACTGGAATGAACTTAAAGAACTTTGTTTCAACGGAAAATTTTTAGCAAGTAAATTAAAAATTAGTTCATTTTGTAGAAAATTCTTTGCTCTATTTCTCATGTTAATTGCACATTATTCGGAATTGACCTGAATTAATTAATGAGAAATTACGACAATTAAAAGAAATAATCATTTTTCTATATCTATGCTTTTGGGTAATTATGATCAGTCTATTTTTGTTTTTCATGGGATAATTATGATCAATCCGTGCAAATTACATAGAATAAATAGAATTTGACGTGCACCGATCTCTAGAAGTCGGCTTTTAGTCTAGTTCGAATGAAGAATGTCTTCAGAATATTATAATTAATTACATATGTAAAAAGCGAAATAAAAATTCGTATTTTTAGCGAGTACTGTGCGCAGAATGAACATCGGTGATTATAAATCCATTTCTGTTCATTAAGATTAGCAAAATAACCTTAATTAGCAGTTGGATAACAAACAAGTTGAACTTTTTTTGTACATTATTAAATTCTCGTTCTAATAGACAAAAAAGTTTTTAAAAAACACATAACGTCAATCGTCCCGCTTGGAAATAAGCACTGGTATCCTCTGTACACTTATATGCAACGAGTATTTTTATCCTTTCAAAGTGTATATGAATTAAATAGTACCTTATTTGAATCCTTAGTAAAACAAGCATAATTTTTTGAGAAATTATTTGTGTTATTTTTCAAGCTTTTCAGAAACAGTTATGTTTTCGACGTCATTTTTGTGTCATTGGGTATGTTATGTGTTGTATTCCAAGCGGGACGATTGACGTTATGTATTTTTTAAAAATTTTTTTGTCTATTAGAATGAGAATTTAATAATTTACATGAAAAGTTCAACTTGTTTGTTATCCAACTGCTAATTAAGGCTATAACCACCTGGTCTTCTATTTTGTCCCGCAAGTCGAGTTCTAAAGGGTGGTCTTCTATTACCGTCAAATTTTGTCGTCTACTAGTAGTCCAACGGTAACCCCCACGTACTTGAAGTCTATCCCCTATCAGAAGTACTTTTGGGCGAAATTTTTTTGAAAATTTTCCTATAGGAATGCATATTTCGATTTTTTCGCGGACATAATAGAAGACCACTAAATGCGTTTATATATGACATGCGAAATAATAAAATGAAGAAAAGAGATATATTTCCTCTTTCAAACGATAGATAGTTTTATCCCTTATTAAAGCAAATGCGAATCAGGTCGAAGGTCGATGAGAATAAATGAAATCTGTACACGCAAAAATGAACAGAATAAAAAATATAAAAATGGAAACTAACAGAAAATCGTATATGGTGTGACTAATGATACAATATTGAGGATTGTCCTTATAGTGATACACTAAACGAAATGACATGGGAAGCATTCTAAAAAGTCTAATAGAAGTGAGATATTGTTTTTTAGACTTTGAGAATAAGAAAAGACAGCATTGTAAGCTTATTTTCTTTCGAATCGAAGACGTTCTTTTCATCGAGTAAAAATATTCCAATCGTTGACCTGCTATTTATATAATCTTCGGTCTATGAATCATAAATGAGTGATACATAACTGCTCGATCCGACGATTATACAAATCATTGTGTGTGCACGCTCTTGTAAAATGCCTTAATATATGTTCTACTATAAGTTATTCTTTGCTGGTGAATAGAACATCAAAAAGTCAAAATGAAAATTGGATAAAAATTACTTTCTTTGCAGTTATCGCTCATTCCTAGTCAGAGGCTCAAGTGTCATTGTACCAAAATTTTTTTATGTACTTTAAAAGTAAAAAGATATGAAGGAAATACTGCGACGTTTTAATTTCTATTACTTTTTAACCAACAAGAAAAACAACGCAAAATGAGTTTATTTTGATCACGATGCTATACTTCAGAGTGGAATCAAAGGGTATTCTCTTGTGCTCCAAAGTGTGATCTTTCTTTTCACGTATCATCGATTCGTTGTAAATATATTTTCTTACACAAAATTGTGTTAAAATTTATCAGAAGAAGAGGAAATGTGGCTTTTTCGCTTTCGCAGAGAAAAATAAATGACACTATTGGACTTTTTTTTTCTTCAGGAGTAATAGAATAATTATTCTGCCTTAAGATAAAATAAACCTGACCTCAAAATGTTTGATACTGGCTGAACTATAAGAAATCTCCTAACTGCTCCAAATCTACACTTTGAAAATGAAGAAATCGTGAAAAAAATCAATAAAAAAGATACAGAACTTTTTCTCAGTCACTTGTAATTACGAAGAGTTTTACAATTACCCAGTTGATAGAGCGTTTTGAGACACTAGGAAGCAGATGCCGTCTCATCTTTTATATGATAAGATAAAAAGGAGTAACATGAAAAACAGTGTTTTATTTGGTTAATGTAACATAGACAAAACAAAAAGATATAATGGTTTCGCCTCTTTCTTCTTGTTCTGTTCTGTTCCATTATATTTTGTACACTACATCATACTATCAAATAAAGCTTGTAATAACAACTCATAGGAATTAAAACTTTGCAGTATTTTCTCCATTATTTTTAACGTACCCGTATATAAAAAGAATGTTCAATATCTATTTTCTAGAGAATCAAATAATGCATCTTTTAAAAGAAAAAAAAAATTTCTAAAATAAAAGGCAAAAACGTTATAGTCAAAATACTGAGAGGCTCATTATTTCTGAACCACTCGTTACATTGTACGAGACAATTGAAAACATCTTTATTGAAGAAAGAATAAGATAGGCGTAACATTAAAATTTCTTGAAAATTAAAAAACGAAATTTACCATTACTATTTCTATGAGGTTGCCGTTTTTTCGTGTAAAACAGTGTCCAACGATGAAATAATAGAAATGCGTTCGATCGATGGTTGAAACGCGTTTCGTATATCATTTAAACGGCTAAAAGACGCATTTCAATTGTCGGTTGAACACATTTCTATTATTTCGTTGTTGAACATCATTTCAAAACGAAAAAACAACAACCTTATGGGATATTTACTGAAACTGATCAATCAAATTGAATAGTCTACATTATAACAATTTTATCAGAAATAAATATTTTGGATATTTTATACTTCTAGTACTGAAAATGAATAACAAAACCAACAAAAAAAAAAAAAATGTAAAAGATTCAGAAAAGTTAATAGAAGAAGATTTTTCATGTTTTCAAATTATTTTTTATTTAATTTATTTTCATTATTTTTTTCGTTCTTGATACTACGTTCAATTTTCCTTAATGCATCAAATATGATACACATATCTCCTTGTAGATCACTAATAATTTGTGCTACTTGTTGAGTATTAGTCACAACTTCAATACTTTGATTATATGGATTATATCGGACTGCAAATGGACGTTTAATCGATGAAGCAAAATCTCTATGAAAAATAAAAACAGAAAAAAACAAAAATTAATAAATCTATTGTTATTCAATAAAATTATTTTACCTAATTTTTTCTTTTGCTTCGACAAAACTTGCAGAAATAAAATATTGTTTTTGATAGGTTGTAATCAAACATTCTTGACGACATACAACATCTGGATCAAATGGAAGTTTTTTTGCCTTATCACTAATGGCATGCTAGAAATATAAAATGATAATTATTTTGTTATAATTATTATAGATAATTTATAAATACCTGCAATTCAGAGCATGAGGATAATAAACCTGCACCATAAGCACGTAGTTCACCATTTTGACGACATAATCCAAATTCGATTGTAAAGAAATAACACTAGAAAAATATTATTATATTTAAAAATAATAAAAAACGAAAAAACATGTAGAAATTTACCGTTGCGAGTCTGTTAATATCTTCTTCTGATGCTCCAGCAGCTGCTAATCCAATTTCATGCGAAAATTGAGCAAAATTTGGATCTGCCAATAGAGGAACATGTCCTAGTAATTCATGACAACAATCACTAAATATATAAAAAAAATTAAATAATTTTTTATTAATCATTAATAAAGAATGACTTACGGTTCTGGCGTATAGAATGGATTGGTTGAATGACGAATATATTGAGTACAATGGAAAACGCGAAATGCTAAACCATATAGGAAATCTCTTGGTGATAAATAACCGGCAACTGGTCGTAATGTAAAGCCTGTACGTTCTCGTAAAAAATTAGAAACATCTTCTAATTGTGGAATGTTATCTTCTCTATAAAATATTCATGATAAATTAGTGACTTTTCTTTTAAAGTTAATAGATCAAGTGTGAGGCATACCGATAGCCACATTTTTCTCTCAGTAATGGCCAGTTTGCTAAGTATTCATTACAAGCATGTGTAGGATATAAACGATTTAATGCTGTATAAACCACTTTCCTAGAAAATTAAAATTATTTAAAAATATTTTATTTATCTGCTATTTTCTCATATAAAAACTTACCATGTTTCTGTTTCTTCAGGCGTATATTCAACTCGAGGTATAGGATCACCCCTAATGATAAATATTAAAATATATTGATAATTTTCAAAAGAAAGATTTAATTTACATACTGTTTGTAGGCCATAGCCAAATCGTGAAAATACATTCGTCGAACACGATACATTTCATCTGGAAAACCCTATAGAAGAAAAAAAGTTATCATAATGATAGATAATCGAATGAAGATTATTAACTTGTTACCGGATGATCAGTCTCTAAATCTGCACCATACACTAGTACTTTTGTTGAACATTGATCAAGATCACTTATTCGATGAGGAAACCATGGTGTTTCGTCTATCTTCGCTGAAAAAAAAGAAAATATATAAACAAAATCAAGTTTAAATCAGATAGTTATTCGTTTTTTCTTTAATATTCATAGTCACAATAGTTGTGATGATTAAAACAATTGTTTATCTCATAGTTGTTGTCTGTTCGAATTTGAAGTTAAAATCATGTAGAGTTGGGTAACATTTGCTGAGACACATAGAATTACTCAGAGATCGAAGACAAGATATGATAAATAAATCTATCATTCTAAAGAAATATAGAAGAGGTTTAGATATTCATTTAGTTATGTATTAAAGGATGAAGAAGGAAGAATATCTCACCTGCGACTATCGTTACTGTTGCCCTAGTCATCGATTCTTGTACCAGAAACGTCTAAGTCTCTTACCAGTATCCTATCGGATTCTTATCGAAATCATAAATAATCTATATAAGATTATTTAAGATTTCCCATTGACAGTCGTAAATGTCTTATAAGAATCTTATAAGAGGCTCGTAAGAAATTCATAAGAAGTACCAAAAATTCTTTTGAAGTTTTTTAGCCAATACTTAATCATAACAGAAAGCACAAGCTGCCTTCTAGTAAATAAGAATAACATAAGAATTTTTGGTACTTCTTATGAAGAAAATCTTATAAGATTCTTATAAGATAGATACTTACGACTGTCAATAGGAAATCTTAAACAATCTTATATAAGAAACTGGTAAGAAAAAAATACTTGTAGGGTATAGAGTGCCGCCGTGGCCGTTTCAATAGCCCAAAATCTGCAGTTGAGAAGCTTTTGAAATGGTCACTCATCTCGTTACTAGTTATCAATTGCAGCTTTGTCCAGAAGGCTAGTGTGACGCAGCGTTGGCAGCATGGCTTGACGATTATATTACCGTGTTCGAACCTCGGCACTAGCAAAAGTTATGTAATAACCTTAGGCAAGTTACGTATGCCTCGGATCTCCCGTCTGACAGCAGACTCGCTACGTTGTGACGTACAATATAGCGTCTCGAGCTAGTCCTAGTGGCTTTTCAAAAAGCTAGTAGGTGGTTAGTGGGCACAAGAACTCTGTATCAGGCTACATATTAAAGGTATATATACACTGGCGTAAATATGTATTATCCTACGTCAAATTTATAAGCATTCTCTAAGTTAACTGTAAAAGAGATGATATACTTGACATTACCTTTTGTTTTGGATGTACCATAGAAACGTGATTTCGACGTAGCTTCATTGAGTGAATCTGACCGTCCTTTTAATAGTTCATGTCTGTTCAAAATATATTCATTATCGAGACTGCTTGGTTGAGTAGTCAAGAAATCATCTGAAAAATTGTCTGTTGATGTTATTGATCTATTAGTAAGAGGTCCTGAATATACAGGATAGATCCATACATCTGTTTCATGTTTAATTGCAATAGATCCACCTGATTGAAATGAGACACTACGTTTAGCATATCGATTATACTTTCGCAAATTGTCTGAATCATCATTATTGGTTAATGTACCAATTTCTACTAAATCATCAATTGTTTCGCTCTCTGTCACGTTATTGTTATTATTATCTTTTGCACAAATTGTTGGCATTACAAAATTTGATACCGGACTTCTAATGTAACCAATGGGTCTATTATAATATGCTTTACACAGATTTAAATTATTTTCTTTGATTTCAATTAAATCATCGTTTATCTGATGATATGAACTTGGTAGAGATGAATCGGATAATGCATGAAACGTTTCATCAACTGATACATAATCCATTGTCAGTTGATTATTTGAATCCATGAGACCACTATGTAATGAAGAAGTCATTAAGGATGATCTGCGATTATACGATGGTTGCCGATATAATGATGTATGAGAACACAAGGATTGTAAACAACAAAAATCATTTGATTTTTGTTGCCTTTTTGATGCTATTAAACCATTTAATGGGATAATTATATTAAATAATTTATCCAAATTATCTTTTAAATTTGCCATTTGTTCAATAAAATTTTGATGTTTAGTACGAATAGGCATAATATCTAATTCTTCCATATTTTGAATTTTTCGAACCATTGACATCCAATCATTGGCAACAAATGTTGGTAAACAATCAAATAAATTATTTATGTACAATGTTTGTATTGTACTAATCAATATTAATGATGGTAATTGTGGATGTTTACGTAGATTACTTATACATTGTTCAAATATCTTTTTTAAATGTTGATTATTTTCCTTACATAGACAATAATCAATACAATTAAAAAGATGCCATCTTGATGTTTCTAATTCATCATTAGTAAAATAATTTTTTAATTGAAATTCAATTTCTTGTGTTGATCCATTAGCAATAATATTTGATAAATAACATAAAACATTATCATGACATAAAATACCATCATTTTCATTTGATACATATAGTTTACGTTCAAAAGCATTTACTAATTCCGTCGTAAAACATACATGATTGTTTTGCTGTTGATCTTTCATTGTCATCCTGGAATAATGGTTTGTGATAGTTGATAAAAAATTACTGGAAAACAAAGGCGTTGGTTTAAACTATATTTATGTAAAGATGAAGAAATCCTAACAATCCTTCAACTAAAGCAACTTTTTAACCTTAATATCATTTACCTTCATAAAAACGTGAGGAATCATATCCCGAACGGGATTAGGCATACACCGATTAATAATCGATGTTAGGACATCCAGCAAAGTCATTCCGAATCAGTTATAAAAAAGCAGCTAGAGCCATTGAATATCTCATTTTGTAGGAAAATGTTTGCTCTACCAAACTACAGTGCAAAAGGACAGTTTAGTGTTAACTGCGACAGAAATATAAGCATCCAAAACTGAGCAAAATTGCGAAAAACGCAACTGTCAATTATTTTTCTATGATTATAGGGCGTTTTGGATTTATTGTATTTTCTCTATATATCAAGAATTTTGTAGCAGTTTGGTAAAGCAAACATTTCCCTACAAAATGACGTGTTTGACAGCTCTAAGTACTTTTTATAACTGATTTGGAACGACTTTGCTGAATGCCCTTGTATTGATTAATAATCGGTGCATGCCTAAATGGGTAATATTTTGATTCAAAACGGGATATAAAGCATGCGTCTGTACTGTAAAAGTAGGCCAAACTCAAGTGACCCAATATCCAATAACAGTGTGAAAATCCAGTATATTGAATGAACAATATTATTGGTCCCAATAGATTGGGTAACCAATATTATTGGAACCCAATATATTGTATTGATGTATGCCTCAATCCGGGTATTAAAGAACATACTATTCGACTCTTTATCGTTGTTTACAACTGCATAAACTTCCGTTCGAACGGACTCGAGTTAATTTTTTGAGATAAAATTTCGTCTTTCAAGAAACCAACAAGTTATTTTCTATATTTTGGCGCACCATGGAAGAGGAGAACAGCTCATTCACCAAAGAAAATTGATGTCTTAAACGATCAAATTTTATCTCAAAAAAAATACACAGATAGACCATGTTGTAGCCCGCAACATTCTCTATCGGATGACATATAACTCGATTTTGAGTATTTATTGCACAAATTCGACTTTATTAGAGTAGAGTAGCATTAATTAATGATAATTAGTGTTAATTAATCATAAAAATGAAGTAAAGAACAATTACTTTTTCATATTCTATTTACATGCTCCACACATTTTTCTTTCATTCTGTGCTTTGAATTAGATTTTTATGAAGAAAGAATATCGAATAAGAAAGATTTAAAAATAGGTCCGTTGTTCCAACCTTGACCTTGACATCAAAAAAAGAACCTTGAACTTAGTTTCGCTCGAACGAAGCATTATCAAGGAAAAGTGTTGGTACAAAAATTATTTAGAATCAGATTCGCTGGAATGTAAATAGGCATGCACCAGTTCCAGTCTTAGGGTTGGAGGATGGGTACAATCAGGATTGGTGCCAAGCCGGATTGGTACCACTTAGGCTTGATGCCAATCCCTCCAGTCTCCAGTTAGGCTTGAATTTCAAATAATATACGAAATGTAAAACTTAATTTTATATAGCTACGTGACATATAAAATCTTTGAGTGCAAATACAGCAGTCAGCAAAATAAAAACACTCAACCGTCTTTTAAGACCTGAAAGTGGCATAAAAGTTCAACGTTTGGACGATTGTTTCATTTAGCAGAGTTTCGAAATCAACAAAGACAAATTAGTGGTAGATGGCGAGACCGCAAAATTAGACTGTAAAATAATGAGCCATCGGATTAACGACATCAACTATAAGCCAGGAAAGTTTTCGTACGCGACAGTGGAAGTGAAGCTGATCTATTAATTAAATAATTTTAAAACTACGGCTAGTGGACTAAAATAAACTTCGTGAACAGAAAAATAAGAACAAACTTCTGAGAGGGTGATCTTTTTGAAGTAACAAAGAAGCATGAAAAAATTACTCTACGCGCATGGTGCAATGACGGTTCCGTCTTAGGTTGTACGCTGAAGCTTTTGTCTATTACATTCAATCAAGCCTAACTAGTCGACCAGTCCGACTGGTAGCAAGCCTAGCTGGAGATTGGAGGGATTGGTACCAAACCTAACTGGTATCAATCGCGGCTTGGTACTAATCTCCAGTCGGATTGGACTGGGACGTTCTAAACATAAGTGATGAATTTTTCAAAATTTGTTAAACTAGATTTCTAAATTGAACTTTGTGTAATTTTAAAATTTTAAAAGCCGTGTTTTGCAATTTAAAAATCTAGTTTAACAAGTTTTAAAAATCCATCGTTTACAATCCAGAGAATCTGATTCTAAATAATTTTTGTACCAAAACTTTTCCTTGATAATGCTTCGTTCGAGCGAAATTGGGTTCAAAATTCTTTTTTTTGATGTCAAGGTCAAGGTTGGAACAACGGACCTTTTTTTAAATCTTCCTTATTCGATGTTCTTTCTTCATAAAAATCTAATTCAAGCACAGAATAAATATTCATTTCTTTTGAGTAGAACACATATAACGTCATTTCAGAATGTCAATTTGGATTTTACAGGCATGTAGCTAGCTTAAAAGCTTATGTTTGAATGTTAATTAGTTCTATCAGTCCTTGAAAAGACATCCCACATTATTTTTTTTTACTGCTGTTAAATTTTTCGGAGAACGCAAATTACTTGAGATAGAAAAGAGAACGTATTTTGAATTGAAAATATTCTGTTTATACTATTTTCTCAATACTAAACATATCACTATACGGTTTCTGTGGCGTAGTGGGGCACTGTATGTCATGATATGCATGTAGTGCTGGTTCGATTCTAGTGAGAAACCACTTATATTTTTTTCTCTTTCATGGACTCATTGCTTTATCCATGCAATTCGAATAAAGTTTTGGAACGAAAAATTTTAGAAGAATTTATTCAGTGTACTTACGGCCTAATGAATAACCATATAAGGCAATCGCAAAAAAAGGCTATAACTGGGAACATTTAAATGCATTTATTTCGCATTTTTTTAAATGTCAAAAAACGATCAAATAACAGGCATTTAACTGCTGCCAGTAACCCTGCTGATCAGATTTTTTTGCCATTTAAATATCAATTTTTAGATCGTTAGAAAATGTCAAACAAATATATTCTAAAACCTGAGGTACCGACCCAAGAAACACAGACTACTTCTTTGAGGCAAGTTTCTACGACTCATATAATTGAAGAGAAAACTCTAAATTATAATATTTTATATATATTATATAAAATCAGAGTCGTTTATACTAGTCATGATGGCAGAATAAAATGGTGGATGACTTTGTGACCATAAAATGGCTGTTAAATGCCAATTGATGATCATTTTTTGCCATTTTGAAATGGAGAGAAAACTATCTTAAAACGGACATGTAACAGACACATTTATTTGGCATTAGTTAACGCGGTCTAATAAATGGACGAAAATGTCATTTTTTCGGACGTTGACTATAGTATGGCATTATTTTCACCGTTATTTCAAAGTAAAAAAAGGTCATTATAATGACTGTTAAATGCTAATTTTCATTTCATTTTTACACAATTAACAGGCCATTTTTTGGCATACAGTTAACAGGCTATTAATGGATAATTAAATGACAGTTGTCGCCGACCAAGATAATTGCGTTCTCTTTTAAATTTTTGTCCTTTTTGCTCCCTCAAACAATTGATGTCATAATTTATGAATGATCTTAAAACATAAATTTGAATTTTAAATAACAGAATGTATTATCTTACCGAAAAATGAGAACACCGATGATTCTTAATAGATATATATTGTCAGCCGACTCTGGTCTTGAATGAGAGAGATATGTCTCTCTTATGTATATATATATGTATAAGTGGAAAATGTGCGTCACCTTGAACAAATGGAAAAGAATATCTATCTAAATACGACGCAATGTATATTTATTATTTCAAAAACTTTTCTATTAATGAGATCTAAATGAGTTCAAATATCAAATGTTTTGTGGTATCTTTTCTCATATAAAATCACTGTTTTAACATTCAATCTCCTACTTGTTTATCCATTCACTTTATGTGTGATTTGTATAGTTTTTTTTTCTGAGGAAAAGAAAAAAAAAATTTTTCTTTCTTTTCTTTTCTATTATATTGCGCACAGAGTTGTTTTCAGACGACTAGAATATGTCGTCTTATAGAAAAACGAGGGTATCGATGATATTTATATATATACTGTCAGCTGCCTTCAATCTGAAATACACTAAATTCTTTCGTATCAATAATATTGTTTTTTTGTATGTTGTTTTTTATTTCTTTGTACTCTTTCATCATATGCTCTACAGTGTTTATCATTGAATGGCGATTGTATTTAAAAAGTTGTTTGCTCGTGCTCTTGTACTTTCATTTGAAGAAGATTACAGCGTCTCTAAACATGATATTTTTATTTCAATGGTAACGTCAACGTTTCGCTGCTTCAAACTTTCATACTATGTCTTGAAAATACTGTTTGAAACACTGCAATGTTGACGTTAATATTGAAATAATAATATCATGTTTAAAGTGGCTGTTATTGCAATAATCTTCCTATTCAAATTATTACCTATTACCAAAAAGAAGTACTTTCATTTAGTAACCAGTAGAAATATGCTAAACTTCTGAAAATCAGGAGTCATCCAAAACTCCAAATTTTTACTGGGCATTTTAAACGTCATCAAAATCAATCATCTAGTGATCGGATGGAATCTGAAAGCAAAGCTTCAGTGTATAGTCCCAACCCAATGTCGTTATGCAGGAAATAATCTTATGTGACATTTTAGAGCCAACTTCCATTTTTCTCTCGAATGGTAAGTTTATGGATGCTGCTCTTTTGGCCAGGAATTAATCACAATGAGTAGATAAAATTGGCTATCATTTAAGTGGTCAGCAGAATAAATGAATGATCCGTAGATTGAATAAATGATCCGTATTTTATTTAAAAATTAGTAAATTAAATGAAAGGGTCAGAATAAAAATCGAAATGTGTTATAAGCTGATTCACT